CGACTTCAACCAAAAATCAACGATTCTAACTATTTTTCAACGTTGATTTAACATCATGTGCTATCTGGGTCTTCACTTTTAAAAAGAAAATGATGACGTCAGAGCGTCTTTCATCTTTGCCTGGCTTTCGATTTTTTTTTTTTTTGCTCTATCAGTGAAAACCAAAAGGCCCATAATCCTCAGATAAGTCTTCTAATCAACTAATACCATGGACAGAGGATAAGCGCATCAGCTCACTAATCACCTTCCTGCCTCTGGTCTCATATAACGTGCAAACACTCATTTACACTTCCTGAAGTAGATGTGTAGAAAACGAGCACGGAAAGGACACATGGTGCCATCCTCGGATGCCATAGAATAGCTGCTGCATTATTAATGCATTTGTGGTCAGTTGAATGCATTTTTTATTTTTTATTTTTTTGTAGAATCTACTCAGTTGATAGTCAAAAGCAACTTCAAACCTACAGGTAAACATAGGAAAAGGGGTTCTTGTTTTATTACTGCTCCGACAAGCAGCCCACATTATCAATCTACCTTCACCGTGCTTTCTTACTCAGTAGACGTTGTACGTCCTTGCTTTTAAAAAACGAAAAAGAAATGGACTTGACATATCCAACAAACGGTTTTCAGATGAAGTTCCGAAAATGCTTTGCTTTTTGTCCGGGGTCGGCCCGCCGCATGATTCTGCACGGCAGATTTACAAACACGATGGCTTCACAGAGGCGATTTGATCCCTCTGGTAACCCACGTCTCCCACCGCGCGGCTTTCTCCACTGTAGCTTTAAAATGATCCACAAGCAGAACCAGATTGTTTTCACGGGTCAATGTTTGGCGCAGCACAATATAGGATGGAGATCTAGGAAAATGTCAAATGCTGGGTCTCTTTTCCCCTTCTTTTAAACAGAAACTAACCGTCACAGAAACTGGGAGAGAAAAACAAACATCCCTTGCTCGTGAGTAAGCTCTGCGTAACGGCAAGAACGTAACCGTTTCCTGGCAAATTAATTTAAATCCAACAAACATTTCAGAAATGCCCACCCAGTTTGAACTAAACACTGCCCTACAGGCCACTCCAGAAGTTTCATTTTTCATCGTCTTGTAATGTAAAAAGGATTATGTTTCAATTAATACAACCCTAACTTCAAGGTAAACAAGTAGCTATAATGAACTGAATAACCTCTCCTGAAACAAATAGGCATTAAAATGTCTATGCTTACCTGTTGTAACAATGTTTAAACACTAATTGGCCTTTGTTAGAAAACCATTTGGTTTCGTTCAGCGTTTTTGATTAAACTCCTGATAATAACGGTGTTGCATAAATGCACAAGCACACAACGCAGCAAACATGACTTGGGTTCCCACGTGTGGCACTTCAGGACAAATCGGTAAATAGTATCCATGGTGACAACCAGCTCTAGAAAGCTTCAAACCAATGGGAGGAGCAGCGATCAAAAAGTAGCAACAAAAGTTGTTATAATTCTTAAGTCAACTACTTCTTTGTAATATTAGGTTCTCTTTTCTGTTCATTGTTGTTGTTGTTTCTAGTCTGAATGTATTTAGTTATATTATCATAAAAAGCTGATTAATTCCAGCATTTATTTCGAAGAGCGAAGCTCAAAGAGTCATTATGCTGGAGTGATGCATTTCATGTTTTTAGTTCCGTCAATTATGGTGATTATAGCTTACAGCTAATCGAAACCCAAATTCAATTCTACTTCTCAGAAACGTAGGATATCGCATAAGGAATTTTAATGAGAAATGTGATGTCACAACCTCGTTATGGCCTACACCAGTGGTTAAAAAAAAAAAACATTTCAGTAAGTAAATTAAATAGGGACATAATGACAACACAAACAGCATCAGAAACAATATAGTTTTTTTTTGTCTTTTTTTTTTATACCTTTTTTGTTTTTTTTAGTTTGATTTCTTAAGAGGTTCTCAAGACCCACGACTGGCTGATGTGCGTCAACGTTGGAAACCGCTGGGCCTGTGTTACCATGGGGTGGACTTGACGGCTGTCAGTTGACATTTACTGACACCTTCACCAAAAAGGTTAAGCGTCAAAAGGTGCAAAGACAGTGACTAATAAGAGTGCTATTTGAAGCACATCAAGTGAAAGTTGAGCAAAAGGAAACAAGTTTTGGTGAAAATGGTGCACAAGCAACCGGAATAACATGAGCGAAACGTGAAGGAAACCCGTGCAAATGTTTTGGCATGGACTGAGGGTACAACAAAATGAACCCCGATTATGTATATTTAAATCCTACTTTTATTTTTCTAATGTGATTATTGTTGATAAACTGAATTTTTGGGGTTTTCATCAGCAAATAAATTACCAGAAATAAATCCCTTTAGTACATTCCTGTCATAATCTACATAAAAATGTTAAAAGTATCGCCAAATACTTTTACTTTTATTACCTTCTTTATGTATCGAGTGCACTCTCTGCACAGCACAGCTAAAGGTCAGTCATTGTAAAAATCCTCATTAGTTTGTCATGATCTCCGTCTCAGTGTAGATCCAGGTAAAGCCGAAGAGCGTCACGGCGATTTTGATAATTAGTAAATTCTCCCATGTACCTTGGTAACTGTAGAGATCCCCCACGCTGGCCTGGCGCGTGATGTGCTGCCAGTAGGCGCTGCGTGGCAGCGAGATGGACTTGGTTAGCGTCTCTCTGGAGTGAAACTGAAACAGACAAGAGTCAGACAGCAGTGCATCTCAATTTTCTGTCACTTTTTGGGGGAAAGCTGATCTGCATTTGTCAACGCATGAGAAGGTGTGAATAGTAGCACATATTGAAGGCTGAGTGGCATATCTCCTGGCTGAGAAAGTGTTTGATGGATAAGACAGGGATTCATTTGGGATTATTTTTTTTAATTTTTATTTATTGTCTGGCATGTTGTGGATTTGATTTCATCTTTCCAACTTCCAAATCCTGATCCACAGTGCCTTAAAGAAGTATCCGGATCCCTTCACCTTTTGCACATTTTCTAATGCAATGAACTTCAATGTGCATGTAACAGACCAACACGACATAGGGCGCAACTGATGTGATGGTTTTATTTTATATTTTAAAAATATAAATCTGAAAAGTGCGGGATGCATTTGTATCCAGCCAAATAGCCAATTTCCACCTCCCAATTGTGCACTACGTATTATCCACCTACTTTGTTTAAAATTACAATAAAATACAGTGAAGTTTGTGTGTTTGCGGTGTGAGAAAAATATGGAAAAAGCGGTAAGGACACTTTTGCAAGGCGCGGTAAGGTAAGGTCATTTTTTTTACATAGCACATTTTCAGCAACAAGGCAATTCAAAATGCCATACATTCCAGAAAGAAACATTGAAGGTGTAAAATGTACCGATGCTAAAAAAAAAAAAAAGAAAAAAAAAAAAAAAAAAATTGCAACGTACACACAGTTCTTGCTGTTGGAAATGTTCCCTTAAATTGCAGGGTCCAGGAGAATGGCCATATGGTCAAGGCTCGTCAGACACAGGGCATGGCGATGTAAACAAAGAACGCAGATGACAGTGAAAAGGAAGGAAGTAAAAAGGAAGTGAGGAATGATTATTGTGAGGGAAAGACGGAGAGAAGGCCAAGACTCTGGTGCGTCTTAGAACGATTCAGAACGGAAATCAGGAATTCTTAACTTCACGCGTCTATAAAAAAAACACAGTTCTGATCATCCAAGCAGAGAGCGAAGCCATTTTGCAGCTTGTATGCACACCTCTCTGTGTTTCTTTGAGACTGATGTGACGAATGCAACGTAAGGAATAAAATAAGTGACTCTAAAATGGTCTTGCTCTGTTGAAATGTAACCACAGTAATGCCAATGTGCAGCAACTGATAAGAGATAAACAAACCCAAAACACACCAGCGTACCTGGGAGCTCTTTTCCATCTCCTCTATCATCCTCTCGTGCTGCTGGGCGATGGCCAGCGTGGCCGAGTGGACCCGCTGGTAGATCATCTCGCCCTCCCGGGTCTGGAACGTAAACAAACCCTCTCCTGTGTCACACATCCTGTGCCAAGAACACACACACACACACACACACAGAGAGAGAGACACTTTGATCGCGCTCGCTCTCGGATTGCTCATTTACAAATATGCATGGTTGAATGTTTAGGCTGCAGTGAGGACCGTGAACGCAAGTAGGCCCCTCTCTCCTCCCCCCACCTGAAGGCAAAAAATCCCCCCCAAAAAACACACAGATCAAGACAGTTTCAGAGAAAAGCCCGTCACATCATCATCATCATCATCATCATCATCATCATCATCATCATCGCCTGAAGCCCTCAGCAGCATATATCCCAGGATGTTTTTGGTTTTCAAAGCTTCTTTGTGAAAAGTTGTCACTGCGTTTCCATAACCGTGTTTTTTTTTTTTTTCTCCCTCTTGATCCTGGCATTTCAATTACACAAGCCAGTCAGAAGCACACACACACACACACACACACACACACACACACACACGCGCACACGCACCTTCCGGACTCAAACGTGAACCAGGTGGAGTCCCGGCCGTATCTGCGCAGGGAGCTGAGGGGCCACATGACGAGCTTGAGGCGGGCGTTGTGAATATCCCACAGGTAGATGTTTTCGTGGGTGATCTGCATGGTGCACTCCCCGTAGATGTCCAGGTTCGGCGTGGGCATGAGGTACACGTTGAAGCGCTCTGAAGATAAACAAAATGAAATAGAAAATCCACGTTTTGAACGCCACAGTTAAAGTTCAATCAGAGAAACCGCTTTGCAACAAACAGAAATTGGCATCGGCCCGCTAAACTGTGATCGGAGCGTCTCTGGTCTTTTGCCTTATGCCTTTAAGCAATTTCCAGATGCCTGAAGGCGACACATTCACCTAATCACACAATTACACACAAACAAGAACACCATGTCAATGTGAAGTGAAAAGAGTCCTGTACCAACATGGTGTGAAAGGCTATTCAGCAAGAAGGAAGCCATTACTCCAAATATGAAAAGCCAGATTAAATTTTTCAAATGCATTTGGGACGTTTGTTTTTGGAAAAAAAAAAAAAAAGTGTCCTGTGGTTTGTTGAAACTAAGGCTGAAGTGTTTGGCGCTGTTGGAGGAAAAGAGAGGAAAGGCTGCCATCTTGAGAACACCATCTGAACTATGAAGCATGAGTGTGGGGACCTCATGTGTGGTTATGAACTTAAAATAGTTCACTGAATGGGTAAATGACATGATGTGGAAATATTGAAGCAGCATCTTAAATTATCAACCAGGAAGTTGAAGCGCGGGTAGCAGTGGATCTTCCAAATGGACAATAAGCCCAAGGACAATGAAGTCAGTGTTTTGGAGTGGATATCTTGAAGTCTTGATCTCGGTATCGGAGTAAACTTTTGAAAATGTGTGTGGGCGCCCACACTGTTGCACCGGTTCAGGTGAGGAGGAATGGATCAAACTCCAGCAAACTATTATGAGAACCTGATGGAAGGACACCGGATCATCTGACCCTAGTCACGCAAGTTGAAGCGGCAATTCCACCAAACACTAAAAACTGATTTTACAAAATATGTAAATATCTGATTTCAACTGCAAATTTATCAACTTGCTCTGGCATGTCGCCCAGGTGTTTTTGCTGAAGTGACTTAATTCCCTTCCTATTGCATAATTATACAGTCTGAGCTTCATAACAGTCACTAATGATGGGTTTCACCTATTAAAATCGCTTGTTTTTCCCAATGCAAACCTCTTTAAATACACACTTTCCTATGACGTAGGAGCTTGTAGAAGCTGATCTAAAATCAAAGTTTTGAATTAATTGCCTAAATAAATAATTTTTGAACCACTTTTAAGAGGAGAATCTTTCCTCCAGGTTATGGGGAAGGGCTAAGAAATTCCTCAACTGGGTTTGGTGCTCTTCTTCGTCGTGAAATTGTAACTTTGTCACATCATAATGACACAGCAAGAACTGCAAACTGAGAGAGAGAAAAAAAAAACTATCAGAGAGAAGAAGAAAGCAATGTAGGAAACAAGGGAGGAAGAAAGTACAGAAGACAGAAAGGCAAAACACAAGGAAGGATAGGACGAAGGACGAGCAAAGGAAAGACAGGTGGAAGAGAGGAAGGTCATGAGGAAAGAAGGGAAGAAAAGACGGAAAGGAGCAAAGACATAATGAGGGAAACAAGTGAGGGCTCAAGAAAAAGAATAAAGAGAAAGAAAGAGGAAGGGGAAAGAAAAGTAACAAACGAGACAAAGAAAGAAGAGATGGGAATGAAGGAAGGAAATCAGGAAGGAACAAATTGATCATTTAAACAAGGTGAGCAGGAATAAGGTCTGGACATAAAAACTTTTTTTTTTTCATTCCTATTCAGTCCAAGAGAATACTGAAATCAAAATCTTCCAGAATCTACTTTTATTTGTCAATTAATTCTCCATGCAGAAAGCAGAAACATAGCACCCTACTTATAGACAATATCATGATCTATGTTCCCTAGGCATTCACTAACCCTAGGGGTTTGGAAAAATAAACTCTGCCCCCTGCTGTTCAGGAGGCATCGAGAGTTTAAACGACAAGCTGGAGTTTTGTTGCGTTCACTCAAAGCAGCAGCAGAAATGTGCCGGTTCGGTTCAGGGTGCTTCAATCTTGCGCTGCTTGAACGCTTTATTTGAACGAACCAAAGAGGGGTTTGTAGTCAAAACCTTGCACTCTGATATCTTACATAAAAGAGGCCAAGTATAGTTGAGGAGCACAATTTCGCTTCGTAGCTGCAGGGAAATGAAATCCATCAAAATGAAAGAAAGTTTTTTTTTTTTTCCTTCTCCTTTTTTTCAATTACTCGCTCTTTTAAAACTCTAAACTGCTCCGTTTGGACTGTTGCCTTTTCAATTTCCTTCACAACTTTACAAATTATACACAGTGAATGAGCTGCTCCGCGATAGCGCCTCCTCTTTTTTTTTTTTTTTTATTCCCATTTCCTGAGAGTGGAATATGTGTAGAGGCACATTTATTTCGCACGGCTTTAGGAGCCATAATCTCATCCATCTCTATGACAAGCTTCATTACGAGGGAAGCCAGTAATGCACAGCACTTCTCATTAGGCCTGGAACAGAGCCCCTGCCAGAGCCTGTGACCTGTACTTCCACACACACACACACGCACACACACGCGCGCAGGTTTCCTTTAACATCCCACATCAAAACAAACCTCTGAAGCCCAAAGCTGGAGGATAGTGAGCTCATACGACAAAACTCTCCAACAGGGGACTTGAAATCAAATATTGACAAAAATGGCCCTTATTAGCAGAGCCTAATTGGACATTGTCCGCTTCACTCCCCTAACCCTCTGAAGTCTCAGCTGCTTTAACGCAAACAGGCCGCATGCGCAACAGATAAGTGCTTGGAGGAGGGCTGATTGAGAGGGATTGACCCCGAATAGCTGCGTGTGTTAGCTGGGACTAATTGGGCACTCACCATTCTGCTCCCGCTGCACTCCCGCTGCTAACAGGTCCGGCTCTCCGAGGCTGATGTCGTTGAGACGGGTACCCAGGCACTCCACGCACAGCAGCTTGCACCATTCCTCGGCGTCCAGCTCTGCACACAGCAGTAAAGAGTCAGTGCAGTTGTATGTCAGACTATATATATATAATTTTTTTTTTTTATGCAGTAAGATTATAACAACGTGGGTCCAACCTCAGGGTGCTTTCATACAAACATGAAACCCTTGAGTGATGCATGAAAAAAAAAAAAAAAAAAAAAAAAAAAACAGCTACAGCCATCATTCACTGGTGGATAATTTATACATAAAATCTGAAGCCAATCACTAAAAAAAATGGTTCCAATATTCCAATCTCAAAGTCTGTGTCTGATATCTCAGTGGCTTTTTCTCTATTAAGGGAGGAAAAACTGATAATGGTCTCAATTTGTAATCAGCCAAACATCCGAGGAGAAGCCAGTAACTCTGGAGGTGCTGCAGAGATCCACAGCTCAGGCAGAAGATTGAACAACTATTAACTGTGCAACCTTTTAATCTGTGTACAAAAACATACACAATTCGTAATTCTAATACCTTGCATCATTTTGAACACGTGTTGAAATGGCCCAGTCAAAGTGCAGACCTAAATCCATTTGAGAATCTGTGGCAGTGACGATGTTTTGCAGATGTGCAAAGTTGTGGGTGCCATACAAAAACTTGTAGCTACAATTAAAGCAGAAAGTGCTTCTACAAAATATTCACAAGGTTGAACTACAAACAGTTTCTATGTCACAATTATGTGCTACTTTGTGATGGCCTAACATATCAAATCCTAGTAAGTTTTGGATTAAAGAAATGAAAAAAAAATATATGTGTGGAAGGTCTAAGAGGAACTGGAAGTGTGGCACTGTACCCGTTACTGACCCGTTTTTATTTCCGTCAATCAATACAGATCAAAAGCTTACGGAACGGGTGTGAGAGGCATCCAATCACTGGAGAGCATTTGACGTAAATGGCAGCGTTATGCAACAGCCTGTTTGTTAGATCAACCGGAAAATGCAGATTGGACAGAAGGGTTAAGGAAAGGTCGGCTGCTATCCGAAGCACTTTATTCACACACAGGAGGAAGCAGAAAACACGGCGGCTCCGGCAATTCAGCTCTTTCCTCGTGCTTTCATTAACTCCCCTCGCTGTGGCCTTTAAGTGTTTCTAAACTCCCACACTTTTTTTTTTTTTTTTTTTTAAGGCCACTGAGTGGAAAATCAGCCAAACAAACACTTCATCAGCACAGCGGCGTCCAGGCTGCGCTACGTGTAGCGCGTCAGGAGACGCGGCAGAAAGACGCGTGTGCATGTGTAGGTGAGTGAAGGAGGGGAGAAAGAAAACGGCGCCGCTTTTTGTTTTAATGAGTGTTTGCAAACACGCGGCAAGCCAGAGTCAGGTATGCACGAACCGAATCGGGAGACGGTTTACTTTTTTTTTTTTGTTTTTGCGGCAGCAGAGCAGCAGTCATTACACAGACGGATACAATATGTATATCTGCTTGCATTCATATCTGTCAGAGAGGCAACTCCTCGGTGGAATTTAAGGAGCTGACATTCTCAATGGTAGTCATAACTCAAGGTCACACTCTCATCTTTCTTTATGTGCATATTTGACAGTTGCACCCAGAGCTGTCAAAAATGCGCGATTATTTTTTTATTTTATTTTTTCCGCTCACTCCGTTCCGTGCCTCATTGACAGCACGCTGCTTGGGAGGACGCAACAAAGGTTTTGTGTTTTAAAAGTAACATAATAGGGGGAGATTTATAACTGCTAAACAGTCTTTTTTTTTTCCTAAATAAAACATGCAACAAAAACTTTTTTATTTATGCATATTTAAGTAATGTCTTTAAATAACAGCGCAGTACTTGTTAATATTCATCGCTGCATTAACACGCCATTAGATATTGCAAGGCAGCAGGACAAATTAGGATCCTATGAAGTGAGTTCTTATGCAATGCAAGTTTACCTTTTTTAATTCTATGATGTGTAAAAGCTGGGGGGAAATGTCATTTCTGATTTTCAGCTCAACCAGTCTGACAACTCTTTTGTGATCAGTGAATGCACCGTACCCAACGGCTAACGGTGCCTTCTCTAGTTATTCAACTTTTGTTTCACTTCAGAACCACCTGGAAGACAAATAGCTCCAATGGCGATGTGTGTTCTAGTTTGAGAGTTTGTCGATACTCAACAGTGTGAAAAATATCTGTATCTGTATTTGGTTGGACGTCAGTTCTGCGATTTCGCTACTACTGGTTAACTATGGCGTTTAAAGTTCTGCAAGGAGCAATCCGTAACATCTGAAGGCAAAACAAAAATAAACCGTTCCGATTTGGATGGGGAAAAAGATAAAACCACATTCATGAATTAGATCCATATCTCTTGTAAACCCAACTCCACAAATCAGCTTAGCGTGAAACAGCACAATAAAATACATGGATTCATTTTCTTTGCCCAGCTTTAGGCTTCAATAAAGCTATTTCAACTTGCTTGGGAAGGTCTGGAGGATTTTTTTTTAGGCTTTCCACCCATCGCACTAGATGCAATCTCTATTGTTACAGTGCATAACGGGGTTGAAAAAACACCACAAATTATGCCCAATATTGGTTTTCAGACCTGCACAATGAAAATCAATATTTCAGAACCCATCTCCCAACCTCTTAATATGGCGGCAAATGAGCATCACTTGGCTAAACTCAGATCCACCACAGCCTCCATCACTTCTGTTTCTCTTTTTTTTTTTTTTGACCCGACATGCTTCATTCTTCTACCACCCCTGTTTTCTTTTTTTTTTGTTTTTTTTTTTTTTCCCAAAACCAAATTACCATAACATAACACATCTTCAGGAGCAAAACAAAATACCTTTTCTCCCCTTATTTCCTCCTGCTGTGGTTGAAAGCAACCAATTAGATTTGTGCACGAAGAAAAGGACAACTCACCTGACTCGCAGGCAAACGTCTTGGACGTGTCATCGCAGAAGATGATGGCGACGGCGTGCTTCTTTGTCTCCCGTGGCATCCGCGTGACGTTCTTGATGTTGTGGAGCTCGGTGATCTACAGAAGTCAGGGAGAGAAAAGCAGCAGCGGCGGCGGCGGCACATGAATGAACACTGCAGCAATAATGGCGCGGCTTAATTGGTATCCTCCACAGCTTTTGCTGAAAGTGCAGCGGGGAGTTAATGACGACGATGCAGAGCCGTAAACTTAAACAGAGGAGGTGATCCTAAAGAACAAATCACACCAAGCAATTTTATGAGGCTTAAAAATCTAATTTAAAACGGGGAGAAATCACACACGCCAGCTAGCCGCTCACACTCCTGTATGATGTTTAATATGCAGCTGCAGAGGCTTGCGGCGTCCAAGGCAACCCTCATTGTTGTGCACCTCCTTGAAAATACTCTTCCAGTTAATACAGAGGAAACCAATGATGAGAATCTAAAATCACTTCACCAGGTGGCTCGTAGTGAATGGAAAAAAGGGAGGAGATAACTTTTTTTATTGAATATCACCAGCATTGACTGGACATTTCATTCAACAGCCTTCCTGATACTCGCCGTCTCCAGCAGATAAGGCCCATTACATTAATGTAGTCTATTGTGTTCTAACTACAGGCCTCTTGCCAAACTGTTACAAATGAATTAGCTGGGCTCATTGCCCATACAGTAAAGCTTGACTGCTAAAGGTTAAAGACCCTATTGCACACACACACACCCCGTATTTGGACTACACATTTCTTTGTTCGATGGGGTGACATGTAATGAATTTCTCTCTACAGTTAGGTAGCCAGTGCTCAACGTTCAGGCCCAGCTGAGGGATTTCTACAAACCTCTGTTTTTTTGTTTTTTGTTTTCAAACTCAAGCTGCAATTTTGTGTGGTTTGTCCTATCCACACATACTCAGTTTATACAACTAGAAATACATTTTTCAGCTTTTCGAGATCCATTTGAACGGTTCTTTTCCGGGGGTCAACTATTGGAACAGCATCTCCGATGAATTTCAAAAGCAAGATTTAGAATTTTCTGTAATCAACAAAAAGTTTTTTTTTTCATTCCAGAAACAGTGTATGCGTGGGATCAACGTCCCGTTGCCACTCTAGGCTGGGTTCAGGTTTTAGTTGTAGTAGCCAAAAAAAAAACAAAAACACATCATTGTCTCATCTGAACTGAAATCATTTGTCCATATAAGAAGCAGAGAATTTCTGCTTCACCTCAAAGGTATTAATTTTGGAGCAGTGGCTTCTTTCCTGATTACTTCGGTTGATGATGCAAAACTTGCATTAGGACAGCGACACTAATGATGTAGCAGTTTCTAGTAAATGGTAGGATTTGGGCTTTGGTGGTTCCTGGGTTATTCCTGAACATCTTAACCAATTTATTTTCATCTAAAGGTGACAGTTTGGCTGAAACATGCAGTTGTGTGTTTCAGGGTATCGTTAGGTGAGCAAGGTATCACTTTCAGCTCTGAAACCGTTTCAAACCTTTTTATAACCTACCTTGTTTCATATTGTGATAAGAAAATGTAGTCAAGTGTTTTTTTTTTTTTTTTTTTTTTGCATTTGACTTATTTCCTCTATTTAACAATTTAACTTCTTTTTTTAATTATTTTATTTCCTGCATTCAATTTATTTTTGTTTTCAAGGGAATCAGTCTTGTGCACAACATTGTTCTTGATGTTTAGTGATTAAGTAGTTCAGACGTTTTGCATAAAACTCTTATTCCTGCCACATAGCAAGCCTTGGCAAGAGTAAAACTGTTTGAGTTGTCAAGCTCTAAACAATCATTTACAAGTCAATGACAAGTCATTTTTTTAAATGCTTTTCACCGATGATTAATGCACGATTATCAAACTCTGCAGTCATGATTAAAATCGCAGCAAGAATGACTCGGTTTGCATGCTGTCTCCATGCCTGCTTGACTTCTCCAGCTTTCCCCTGCAGTCCAATAACTTCCATGTCAAGTGAATTGGCACTTCTAAACCGACCTTAAGAGTGAGTTTCAGAATGTGTCTCCTGTGACTGTGTTGGGCCTGTGATGGACCAGTGACCTGTCCAGGGTTACTATGTCTCTTGGATAACCTCCAGAATGATTAATGTTGTGCAGCAGCATCCTACTGGGTGTTTTTGGGCTGTGGGATTTCAATGTCAGATGTGTGGAGAAAAAAAAAAAAAGAAAAAAAAAAGAAACAGGGCTAAATATTGGAATCTCAAAGCAACTGTTTATTTCCAAAAGCTTTGGGGTAAAAAAAAACAACAAACAAACAAACAAAAAAAACATATAAAACAACCACTTTTACTGGTCTGTTTTTAGAATGCATCAAATTCATTAGACGTTTTCCCTCAGGTTAAGCAATGAACATTTAATTGCTACTGATGTACTGATGACAGATAAAGGAGAGAACAACTTGGTATATCTTGCAATGAACCTGGTAACTGCAGAGAGTAGTTAAAAATTTAATAAAGCATTTATACGCATGCAGCAGCAAAGGAACATTTGTATTTCTTCGCAATCTAAATTCCTGGCAGGTGTTTCAATTGTTTCCATAATTTTCTTACTTAAATCTCACCTATCATGTGGCATACGTCGGAGATCAGACCTCAGACCAATGTTATTTGCATTTCATATGTTCCATTCGTGTAAATTATTAAAAAGCACCTCAAAGTTATGGACAACAGATTAAATATGAAAAGATAAATGATCTCCTTAAAGATGCCTTTTCTGAGTTAAGAATAATTGCAAGGTTAAGACGCCTAAAAAACAGTGACCTAAAAAAAAACCCCATCATGCTGGCCTTCATCTCAACCTACCTGGACTATTGCAGCAGTTTTTATGGTGATATTGGACAGTTGCAGATTGATCTGCTTCAATTGGTCTAAAATGCTGCAGTAAAGCGTAACTAGCACACACTAACAAGACCATTACTTCTATGCCAGCTCGTTTTGCAATGACTGTGCATTTTAGACTTCATTTTAGGATTTTATTGTTCATTTTATTTTTACCTTTAAATGAGGTAGTTACACCAGCGGTCCTTTAACTCTGCGCACTCCGATTAGACCACTAAAGTCTGTAGAATAATTGGTTGCTGTTTCCACGTCCAGGTTGAAGCATAAAGAAAACTAACTCATTCGTTTCTACTCTACTGAATAAGACAACTTCCCCTGTGCACAAGCACCTCTCTTACATTACACATTTTTAAATCCTGTTTAAAAAAAAAATAATTTTGCTCAATAACTCATAGAGCTCTGGAAAAAACTTAGAGACTCATGATTTTACTTTTTATAGGTATATGTTTGGCTAAAATGAACATCGTTCTTTTATTCTATGAACTACTGACAAGAAGTCTCTCAAATTCCAAGCAAAAGTGCATTTATTTGAAGAAATTGAGAAATTGTCAAAATCACAAAAAAGATGCAGCGTTTTCAGACCTCAAACAATGCAAAGAAAATAAGTTCATGTTCATTTAGAAACTATAATACTACTGTTCTAACTCAGGAAGAGTTCAGAAATCAGTACAACCATGAGGTTTTCGATGGGATTCGGTGCAGTGGTCTCTTCATTTGTTCCCCAGAGTTGGATGTAGAATCTAAACCTCTCAATACGCGACTAAATCCGATCATGCCTTATTGCATTATTCTTAATAGGACAAATATGCAATCAATCTATACACTGGTGCTCCAATGCAGCTTGACATTTTCGCAGTAGCTGACTCAAGCCAGAGCTCAAGAGACCTCTAAAACAACTCCACAGGAAGCTAAAAATACACCCAAAAATATGCAGGATCTCTTTTAAAGCATGGACCAGTGATCTGCAGAGAGAGAATGCTGCAGAAGGAGAAAGAGAGAAAGAGAGGGGGAAGGAAAGAAAAAAATGTGAATGGGAAAAAAAAAAAAAAAATCTAATCCCCTTTGTGTTGATTGTGTAAATCAGCCACCAGTGCAGCCTATTTCCCACCCACAGCACTGCAGCGTTGAATGAAGCCCCGAGACGGGACCTTTTCTGGATCTCGGTGGCAATGCATTACCAGGTTCAGCGGTGCATGCGCGCGCCCATCGCTCACTACAGCGTGGATGCATGCGGCGCCTCAGAGCGGGGCGGTTTACAGCCGCACGGGCCGCTTCGTGGGACAGCATGATGCAGTAGGCAGAGATATATCTAATTCACAATACACGACTGATATTGTGGCAGCAAATGGTGCAAACAGAGTGGATCAAAACATCAAGATGGCTTGTGGCTACATCAATAGACGCAGATAAAGTCAAAACTGGAAAAGAAAACCTCACCAATTTGCCTCATTATCACGGGAGAGAAGAAAGAGCTGAATTGCCTCCACAAACTACAGCCACAAAGTTTACTCCGCAGTCCTCCATTATCTCCCCTTATCTCCTCTCATTAGGATAAAACATTGTTCACGGCGCTGCTCCTTTAAAATCATCCTCACTTACCGGGATAATGAATCATAATTGGTGCATTTCAAGGGGCTTACGAGGTGCGGAGAGAGATATTATATGGAGGATTACTACTTTTCAAAGAGAGGAGGAAAGGCCTGGAGGACAAGATAAAGTCCCAAAATGTGCCTTAATAGATCCTTAACTTCATCATCTGATATCACTGGACAGAATTGTAATGCAAAGATGAAAACAGGTTTCCCACTGCATGCTTAAAACAGTTTAGTGCTCCGGTTGTGCCCACAATAAAAGCAGTACAATATTAATAACCAGATCAGCATATTTTTTTGGTGGAAAATGTTTTTCCATGTGGCATATGATTTACTAATAGATGTAGCAGAGTAACAGAAAACTAGACCAGTGAGAGCTTTCATTCAATGAAAAAAAAACAAACAAAAAAAAAACAGGTGATGCCTTATTTAAGGTGGGAGGCAGCCAGTGTTGGTTTAATGACGGTTCATTGCTAACTGAAAAAAACTGACTAAAATGAGATGTTTAGTAAAACACGACTCTAAGAAATGGTGTGATTTAATGAAAATGTTGACACGAGAGAGGAGAATGTGATACGGAGCTATGATCCAAAATGATCCAAAATGCTTGGAAACTGAAGAGA